GAACACCCTTGAAGAAGGAACGAAAATGGTGTCGTCCAGCTGAGGGTTGGTTGAAATTAAACTTTTATGGGAGTGTTTTAGGGAACCTGACACCTTGGGAGGATTTTGAAGACCTACTCTAGATCCATTCATGCCTGTGAATCAAACAAGGCTGAGGTTTGCTCATTGTTGTTGGATCTAAGAAATTTGGAGATGAGAAAGGAACCAATTCTTATAGACAATGTTACCAATTCTAATAGACAATGTTTTAAAAAACGGTCCACCTGGCGCCTAGGCGACCTGGACAAAAAAGCCGCACACCTAGACCCAGGCGGCCCTACACGGGTGGATGTACCTGGGTGGGCTAGGCGGGTGCCCAAGGCTATAAGGCCTTTTTTGCTTTTTTAAATCGCCCAAGAGGGCAAAGGGAGTCATTTTGACCCCCAAAGTTGTATAAAAACGTTATGGGGTTTATATTTAACCCCCAAAATGAAAAAAGAAAAAGAAAACCCTCAATATATGAAAACCCCCAAAGTGAAAAAAACTATAGGGGGCCCGAGTTCTGGGCGACCGCCTAGAGCGTTGGGCACCAAGCAGGCTGCCTCGGGGCTGCCTAGCATTTTTGAAACCTTGCTTATAGGAGGAAACTCTGACAATGCCACAGCTCGGGGTATTAAGAAAGAGGTATGCCTGTAGCAGCTTAATAGCATGGTTGAAAAGATCTTGGATCGCATTGCAAAATCAAGGGCAAAACCCTTTGTCATTCATGGAGGGAGACAAATGAAAAAGTTGACTCTATGGAAAAGAACGAGCATCCATGTCGAGTGTGATGGTGGTTCAGTTTTTGAGCCTTAGATTGTATTGGAACTTTTTTGTGGAGTCTATTGTATATCAACATGGTTTTGGAAAAAGATAAACAAATAAGTGGTTGTAAATCATTTTTGACACTACGGGATTACAATTAACTTTTATTAAATATATTTAGGGAAAAAAAGAAAAACTCTAACAGTCGTGAAGAATCAAGACTAAAGGCAAAAACTCTAACAGTCGTGAAGAATCAAGACTAAAGGCATACCAAATACCAAAAGGGAAAACAAGACCCCACGCACTAGGGGAATGTTCATTTGCTCTAAATTGTGCTTTTAATAAGTTTTAACCAGGTAGCTAGCTACCGTGATAGACCACATAAATCCACTTTATCCCGCCCAAGTGTACAGTTTAGCTCCCAACTACCACTACCAATGCCAGTATAGTATCCCTATTAGTGCTCTTGAATTTTGACATAGCATGAAGGATATTGAATATCCAGTTCATCCTCAAGATCCATGTGAGTGTACCTAATATTGATCCCAAGAACCCCAGCTCTAGGAATTACCTCGGATAGGAACTAACAAAATAATATTGATTTATTTTTGGCAGATCTCCAGTTTCAAATATTAAAGATTTTTAGATGATGATTTTCAAAAAGCATCAGTCAGATATGTTAATAATAGTATGCAGGCCAACACCGTGCACAACTAGTTACTCCTTGTGGAAGTTAAATTATCAGCCAAGAAGCATAACATGCTTATCAAAAAGTACAAAGCACTAAAGTGTATGAAGCAGTTCTCAAAGTAACACGCATGGATACTTGAGTTTGGGTACCATCAATCTCTAATATGAAAACATTTGTTAAAATCCACAAGATATTATTTTCTGTCTTTTTTCTCTTTTCTTGTTCATTCACTAGACATTGATGATGTTCTACACATGTTTTTTTTGGGTAAGTCAGATGTTCTAGACATGTTGATAGATGTACAATGCGTCATAGTTCCCAACAATGTCAAAATAAACCAGAAATTGTCAGCAATTACAAGAACACATAAACAATGAAAGTAGCTTTTCCTTCACTAAGTAGGTCTGATCATGCTATAGTTCTGAAACCGTGACAACCTTTGGAAGGTGTATGGAACTTTAGATGCATTAAAATACATATATTTAACTAACCAAAGCTTCCAAGTTCAAATAAGAGTTGAATGGATTGCAAAAACAAAGAGATATGATGATTTCCACCCAGTTGATCAAGGTGAGTCTGGCAGCCAAGGCGCTAGACTGGCACCTTAGTTTCGAGCCGCCCTAGACACATATATGCATATATGTGTGCTTCAAAAGCACATATATGTATAATTTTGCACACTTAAAAACACTCACTAGTGAAGGTTTGCAATATTTTACTCATGTCTCATCACCATCCAAAGTCCATCAAAAGGCGCTAGACTGGCACCTCAGTTTCGAGGCACCCTAGACACATATATGCATATATGTGTGCTCCAAAAGCACATATATGAACATATTTGTATAATTTTGCACACTTAAAAAAGAATCACTAGTGAAGTTTTGCAATACTTTACTCATGTCTCATCACCATCCAAAGTCCATCAAAAGGTCCAATTGTCAAATGGTGTTTGAATTTTAAAATTTTTTCTACAAATCTGATTAACCTCAAATTTTGCGAGTGTGTGTGCCTTAGTGAGGTGCACCTAAAAAAATATAAAAAGTAATTTCAATAATAAAAATAACCAAATTCCCCCTTTGAATATTTCAGGGTATTTTCATCATTTTATTTTTGATAATTTCTTTTTAATATTTTATTAAGGTGCAAGATGGTTAGTTGTAGACACACCCTAGATTTAAGATACCTTGGATCTCTAAAAAAATATTAAAATTCAAATACTACTTGGATAATCATGGTCATTAAATGGACTTTGGATTGTATTGAGCCGTGAGTGAAGTACTGTCAAAATTCACTCATAGGTGTTGGTAAGTGTTATCCTATAGATACACATAGTTATATACATATATATATATATATGTGTGTGTGTGTGTGTGTGTGTGTGTGTGTGTGAGTGTGGTGTGTGTGTGTGTACATGCATGTACATGCACATGAACACATTGAAATCATTGAATTGCATGTCCAAATTGTAATAAATCAGTATATATAAGATTAAACTAACAACCACAAAAAGAAAAAGAGGCTCCATGTCAAATCCAATACCACAAAATACAAAAAGACCATAACCACAAATCCATACACGTCCTAGTCCAATAAAAAATATAGGAAGTATTTCTCGAACTTCTCTAACTTTTTCACTTTCAAAAAAAAATTGACAAACCAAAGTTTGCGTTTTTTTTTTTTTTTGGATTTAGAAACTCCTAAAACAAACTTTTTTGTGGGAGAAGAACTGGTTAGAAATTCTCAAGTTTGCCTTAGTCTCATCAAGGATTTCTAATATTTTATTCAGCACCTCTGAATTCTTTGACACTCTTTTGCACCTACACCTACAGCCCTAAGTTCAGATCTTTAATATAAATCCCAAAATTCCTTCCACAGACCATCACTCCTCCAATGCCAATCTTCAAATCCATTTCAATAATGTTTTGCTCATGCATATCATACAGATGCTTAACTCACCTTGATTCTGGAGTTTGCATAACCTTTTCCACTAAAAGAGATGGAATGTATATCTCTATGCTCCACAGCTCCAAAGAAAATCCTTTTTCTGACTTCTATTCCAACCAACCAGTCTCTTTGTAATATCCATCACAGCTGAATCCCCTGAAATTTTTCTCTCAGAACATAGAGGTAAGCCCAAATAAGAGGTGGGTAAGGCTGCTTATGACCTCACAAATAGTCTAAGGTTCTGATCACTGTTGCCCAACTTTCTATCCTCTTTAGAGATCCCCATCACTTCCACTTTTTCCATGTCAACTTTTTGATAGAACCTTCTCAAAACCCCTCCACGGTAGGTCCTACAAAGATTATCATGTCATCAGCAATTGAAGAAGTACATTTTTTATGTGCTCTCCCTGAGAAGAAACCCAAGATGTTCTATTTTCGATGTGCGCTCCCTGACGAGAAAACTCCAGTCCACTCAACAGAAGCACCTTTTGTCTTTATCCTCATCAAGGCCCACAACATCCATCTCTCCTCAAGACCCATACGGCTCAGCATAAAAACCAGAAGTTCTAATAATGTGATCATAAGACTTTGCTAAATGAATCCTATCCATCCTATTTAAGAAAGGCTCAATTCGTTTTAAAGAACACGTAAATGTATCTATCAAAAAAGAGGTCTAAAAAAAAATTACAAACAGAAAAGGCATTTGAACAATATATACAATAACAAAATGAGGTAATCCATGACTTCTGCAAAAGCTTTTCTGACACATTTTCAGAGTGTGGACTTTGTGTTCAAGTATTCCCAAAAATATTGGGCACAATAGAGCTTCCTAGGTACAAGTTTAGAAACACTTATAACATAACATCTCGCCAACAATTAAATTAAAGGGCAAAGACAACATCATCATCATCCAAGCCCTACCCCATTATTAGGGGTCAGTTTAAAGGGCAAAGACATATTAACTTAAAATTCAGCTTGAACTAAAGAATTGGTATCCAGAGGAACTAAATGAAGATGTACATTATAGTGCATTTCCATAATTTACAGCTTAGTTCGGAAATTATGATACACGAGTGTATTTGCATTGCAACTAATCTGTCCATTATACCTATCAACAGAATTGAATAAACTAAACTACTTGAATTTCAGAAAAGAAAAAGGACGTTTTGCAGTGCATATAAGGTAATGTGAAAAAAAATCCTCAAAACAATCATACCTTCTCCACCCACCATACATACCACACATCACATTAAAACCCATCATATTACATGCATGCAAGCATTTCGTCCAAGAAAACCCAGTCTACAATTCATAATTAATCGATAAGTAATGAGTAAACATTTTATTTCCTCATTTTCCATGTCTTCATGGGCTCGAAAACTCCAAAACTAACATTTCTAAACAAATGAACAATCAGAATAAAACGTACAGGCAAAACCATGACTCCAAGCACAAACCAGTCCAAAAATCCATCAAAATTTGATCCACGATACTATGTAGCAAAATAGAAAGAGAGAGAGGAAGAGATAGAAAGAGAGAGAGGAAGAGAGAGAAAGAGAAGAGAGAGGGAGAGGTGCATTACATAGAGAGCAGTTGAGGAGGAGAATTCATGTGTGTCAGCAGAAAAAATGAGCCATGGCAAATCACTGCAGTAAGAGAAGAGAATACAAGAGAGAGAAACCCTAGAAAACAGGAGAGAGGGAAAAGAGAAGAAATGAAAACCAGGTCGTAAAAATATTCCCTCTTATTTTTGTGGGGTTTTTATTCAGAGAGTGTCCGAGGGGGAGAGGGGCATCTTTTATCAATGGATTCTCCCAATTGAGCCCTGGTTTTGATCAATATTTGCGTAATTACCCTTGGTGATGAATGAATGAACCCATGATCTTCTACGTAGAAACCAAAGAGACCATATATAAGATAAGATCAAGTTTTGTGTCAAAATTATAACTTCTTGTGGGTTGGTATGGGTCCTTATACTTTAGAATGCCACCTACATTATGTTCAATTTTAAACCATCAAAATAAGACATAATACTAAACTCCGTAAGAAGATGCAGTTCTGATGTTGAAAATCTCTACAATAGCTTGAAAATTCTATTTTTATCTCTTATTATGAAATTTAAAGCTATGAAAAATGGTGAAGATAGAAAAAATGTATAAATACTTATAAATCTTGAAAATTTATAGTCAATATACTATGTTATAAAATGTATTATTTTTTAGGACGTCAATTTTTATTTTTATTTTTTTACATATCCATACATCTTTGATATCGAAATGATCAATTAGAGGGTTTTCCAATATCGAAACGACATTATGATATGGGTTTTTTTTTATGCGCACATTTTTTTTATACCGACACTTTACATAAACATTTTCAAGTTAAAAATGTATTAAGGCTAGACTAATTTAAATGGAGTGTGACCCTTTTTGGGGTCTCATGATCAAAACCGTTTGATAGATTATTAAAACATCAGTTTTGCTAGCATAGCTTATAATCACTTCAAGAAACCTTTGTATAACTTAGGAGAATGATCTTGTGTATTTTTGAAACACAATTGCAGAAACTTTAGTTGTCGAAAACTTCTCTTGAGCTTGAAGCCTATCTTTTACTAGGTAACCATTTCATCAGGTACCCACTATTTATTTTCCATTTCACCCTTTCATCTTTCCAATAAATGAAATCCCATCGGTTAGAACATTTGGTCATAAGTGAGGTCTCGCTAAGCATTTTGACTTGGGATTCACGACATCACCATTACTAGAGAGAAAATGCCGCAAAGTGAACGAGCCATTTGTTGGGTTCATGTGGTCATTAGAGGCGTTATGAGAGCGTGTATATAAACATTTTCTGTAGTAGAACATAAACTCAACATGAACATAGCCCTTAGTGGACCATACTAAATAAATGTTATTTGTCAATACTCAAACTTGGCTAGTTGAGTTGAAAACCTCATGGTAACTGGGCATGAAACTAAACCAATGAGGGTATTGTGGGTCATCTCTTTATGAGGTCGGAGTGGCTCAGATGAGTGAGCTGAGAGACTGTATAACCCTTATGTGTGATGGTTGGTCTTTAGAGACGAGGGCTAAAGTATCATCATTAAACCATCACACGACATGTACATATGATAGTTATATCGGGAAAGTGAACTACCTTTCAGGGTGAACGTGTATATGTGCAAGATATTACCTTATACACCAAGAGCAGTGGTTGCATCTGGTCTTGATAACCTTAGGTTCGTCTTTAGGGAGAACATGTAGTTCATAAAATGTGATTATGTCTGATTACCTAATGGCTAACTTTGGTGACCCAATCATGAACTTATGCGGTGATCTGTGGTTCATGGGAACCACTGGGTCAATTTGAGAAAACAAGTACAGTTCACAGTAGAAGGTGGAGTGCTCCAGTGATTTTATATTTTCTAGGCCTATACGGATCTGATTCCTATCAAAATTATTTACTTTTAATTATTTTGATGATATATGATTTTTAGATTAATTATTTGAATTTTTTGTGAATCTCTAGATATTTTATTTTGTATACATTAGATTTATAAATCCAAAGATATTCAATTTTCAGTATTTTAATATTCAGAGGAGAATGAAATTTATTTTCAATTGACTAAAAAATATTTTTATTTATTTTATATCACTAAACTCATGGGGCCCCACAAAGAGTTATGGGCCCACCATATTATAATACATGGGAGAATTGAATGGGGCCCACATGAAGCCACCTAGGGTGACACGCCCTACTAAAGGAGCCTTTGGTTAAAATTTTTATTCAAGCCATCTAGGCTTGGTAATCAAGTTAATGGGATTTAGAAAGTTTTGTAATTTGAATTTTTTACTATTCAAAGATGGAATGAATAAGAGAGATTATTCACAAAATAAGAAAGTGTGATATTATTTTTTATATTGCAATATTCGATGAGATTAGGTTTAGGAAGCTGGACGATAAAGTTCTAACACATTCATTTGAATCATGATGGCTAATTTAAGGATCTAATGACTCGGATCTTTCACCTGACAAGTCTCAAATGACCAATGGTTTAGATTCAATCTACATAAGGATGACTAACCCTAAAGAAACTCTAGCCCATGAAAAATTTATAAATAAGAATTCCTTCTCTCCATATTCTTTACACCTCTCTCTTCTCTCTACTCTCTCTACATAGGGCCACGCCCCACCTAGGGTTTCTCTCTCCTCTCTCATCTTGAGTTATCTTTCTCTGTCATCTGTCTTAGTTAATAGTAAGAGATAGGGGCATGCCCCTACTAGACTATCAAGAGGGGGGCATGCCGCACTCATGAGTCAAGGTATTGAGGCCTTAGGTTATGTTGTTCTATGCTCTGTAGTTGATAGGATTTGTCTTAAGCTTTCCCATACTTGGTAAATCCCAGATAGACCATTTATCTCGAGCTCCATTGGAGAAGAAGACCCAGTTTGGGGTGTACTAAACCCGGTTGATGTAATATCTGATATCTTCCATTTTTGCTCTCTTTTGATCTTTTATTCATATGAGTATTATGTGCTTCATAATACCATAATCAAGTTTATACAACTTTTTTTGTGTAATAAAAGAATTCTTAAAGTGGCAGTAAGTAAGAGTCATTGCGATTCTTAGTGTTTTTTTCATTTCTTGTTATATATTTAGACATTTGTAAGTAATCTAGGTGGTGAAAATAATGAAAAGATAGAAAAATTTTAATCGATATACACTTGCCTGGGTTACATAGTCCAATTTTAATTATCAATGGGGGGCAAATCTTAAGAGAGAAATTGTTAATGCGAGTAAATAGTGTTATTAGGGAGAAGGAAAGAGAGAAGTTTACACACAATTAGAGAGAGAGAGAGGCAATTGGATCACAGAATTGGGGAGAAATTAAATGCACACACAAGAAAGGAGCAAGCTCTTCAAGAACCAAGATACCTAACTATGAACATTTTGCATATGTCACTTCTCCTAGACTTTCTTTCTTCATCTTTTAACAAGAAAAGACATAGTAAATGACCTTTCTCCTGATTTCTTTAGGAGACTATGCAAATAATCTCTATGTTGAAGGTCACAAATCCAAAGTTATTTCTCCTCATCATAAGACACACACATACACACATATGGGAGTCAAATCAAGTGCAATTGTCGGTTTATATCCATTGAAAACTCTTGAATGCCTTTGATTTGGTATGTTGTCTTCTGCCTTGCTACTAAATTTACGTGCATGACATATAGGAGTCAAATCAAGTGCAATTTTAGGTTTACATCCATTGAAAACTTCAAATGGGTTTTTCTAAGTAGTTTAATTCTAGATGTTAAAGGCAAACTGAGCTTGAAATAAAGCCAAACCCCACTACTTTGGCTTGTTTCGTGCCAAACTATATAATAAATTTCTTAAGCTATTGTTTATTACCTATGTTTCGTTATTAATTTGTGGATAGTAAGTACTACCAAAGCATGACTCAAGTAAGTCCTACCAAAGCATGACTCAGTTCCCATCAATTTTCACAGAGATCTCAAGAAATGACAAATGAATTTTGCATCTTTATTGGAAGTGATTGACTTCGAAATGCCATAGATCGGGCCTTCTCCTTAATATAGATTCTCGTAATATTATAAGCATCCATAGGTTTTTTTTTGCAGGCGATAAAATGGGTCATTTTTGAGAATCTGTTTACTACCACAAATACTGAATCCATACCTCTTGGTGTTCTTGGTAAACCCAAAAGAAAATCCTTACTGACATCCTCTTAAGGTGTAGCCAGTAGTGGTAATGGAGTATAGAGTCTAGCATTTTGCACAATCCCTTTGGAGACCTGACAACATAGTACATGTTTATATATCTACCAATGTCATGCAATATCTTGAGCCAAAATTAATTATTAAACACTGATGCCATGGTTTTGTCATGACCAAAGTGATATTCATTGTGAAAATCCCTAATAGTAGTTTACCGCAATGAGCATTCTAGTCTACATAGCTTCATTCCTCTTAATAGAAAACCAATATGCATGCAATTGTCATCATGCTTACTTGCTAAGATATCAGTCAGAATTGCTCCAAATTTATAGTCATCTTGGTATAACTCCTTGAAAGTATTAAAGGTCACAACCTTCACCTTCATATTAGTAAGTAATGTGGCCCTCCTACTCAAAGCATCAACTACCCAGTTATGAATACATGTTTTATACTTCAATATGAAAGTAAACTCCTACAAATATGAACCCATTTTTATCTTCTATTAAGTTTGTGACGGTTATTGATATTATTTAAGAGCTTCATAATCTGAGTAAAAAATAAACTCATTTTGCACCAAAGGATGTTGTCATGCCTCAGGCTTGAACAATGACATAAAACTCAACATTATAAGTATAATAATTGGCCTCGGACCCATTGAGAGTTTCACTACAAAAGGCCACCAGTTTGCCTTTCTAACTTAACACGACACCAATACCGATTCCTGATGCATCACAATCAACTTCAAAAAAAGTATCGCAGTCTGGTAAAGCCAATACATGGGCTTTTAGAATCAGAAAATTGTTTCATGTGGGCTAGACTACATTTCTACAATTTGCAATCTAAGGTATAAAGCATCCATCTTAAAGATGGATGCAAAGTCCATCTAAAAACAATTGAAACTAACAGTCCAAATGTTTTCTTCATAAAATAATTTTTTTTTATTTTTAAAATTTATTTATTTATTTATATTCATGTTCTCCATGTTAAAGATTACATATCATTAAAAATT